CACGTCCTGACTCTGTACTGAACACACACACCTGAGATTCATAACAATCTTCTCGTCTCAAAATGTTAGACTGACTCCTTAAAATAAGAGAATGTGAGGTATCAACATTTAGACAGAATGCTGTCATATTGTCAATAAATCTTTAATAATCTGATCAATAGAAGACATGAAATCAAAACTCATTTCTCAAAGAGCATTTTCTGTATTCTATGATATATTCTTACTCGTCCATGTCGTCCTTGTCGACAGTTGAACACTCCGAGGTGAGCAGGAAGAAAGTTTCCCGTTGCTTTAATCTTTAGTTGCTGCTCCGCTGCTATCACCAGCACACTCGTGTCGTTTAAACTGTGACTGCCAAGTGAAGCTTTTGTCACAAACGCTGCAGCTGAACGGTTTCTCCCCGGTGTGAGCCGTCATGTGTCTCGTCATATGTCCCTTCCTTGAGAAACTCTTCCCACAAACCGGGCAGATGAAAGGTTTCACCCCCGTGTGGGTTCTCATGTGCTGAACCAAAGTGTGACGCTGAGTGAAACTCGTGTCACAAACTGAGCAGGAAAAAGGTTTTTCTCCCGTGTGGATTCTGAAGTGTGCTGCCAAATCAGAGTGCTGCCTGAATCTCTTACTGCAAAGTGAGCAGCTGAATGGTTTCTCTCCCGTGTGGACCCTCATGTGCTTCTCCAGTGACCAACAATGACTGAAACTTGTGTCACACACTGAGCAGCTGAATGGTTTCTCCCCTGAGTGACATCTCATGTGAGCAATCAGGTGTTCCCTCCGATTGAAACTCTTATTGCAAAATGAGCAACTGAATGGTTTCTCTCCTGAGTGACATCTCATGTGTCTTTTCAGATTTGTCTTGTGGCCAAATGTTTTTCCACAATCAGAGCAGATCAACAATTCTCTGTTAGTAATTTTGACGTTATTTATCACAGAGTTTAAACCTGACTGAAGTTCTCTTGTCTCATAATCATCATTGTCACTGTCATCAGTCTCGGGTTCAGAAGAGTCTTTAGTCTTGTCAACAGTATCTGGATCTGAGTTCCTGTCTGGTTCTGGTCCTCCACAGTCCTCTCCATCAGCTTCTGTTTCCATCTGTTCAGTTTGTCTTTGATGAAGCTGTGAGGACTGAGCTTCCTCATCATTGTCTTCACTCTTCACAGGAGTGAATGACAACTTGATATCAGCCTCCTCCAGACCTTGAAGCTGCTCTCCCTCCTGACTGGTCCGAAGTTCCTCCTGTTCCTCTTTAATGTGTGGGGGCTCTGGGTCCTCCTGGTCCAGACTGGAGCTCCACTCCTGCTGCTCTTCTTTAACCACCAACAGCTGCTGGACGTCTGCAGGAAACAGGAAACACACATTCTGAACCTTTAGTTGTCAGAAATGTTACTTTTCTAGTTCTACATACAATAAATGACCTGTGAAATCCTTATTATTTAAACAGTGTGTGTAAATGGCCACCTGTGTCCACATATACAGTATTTAAGGGCACAGTATCACAATTGGAATATATACATTTTCTGGGACTTTTTATACTTAGAATAGAGATGGGGAAGGACATGCAATTGTTAATAGTCTTATGTTATGATAAGATAAAACTTAAATTGTTGTGCAATGGTTTCAATACAAAGTGGGAAAAAGCTAAATTATGAAGAGTGTAAATCAGTGGTTCTCAAACTTTTTCTGTCACGCCCCACTTTGGAGGAAGAAAAATGTTCATGCCCCACCACCCCAACAAAATTGTAACAAAATGGTCCATGTTGAACTTTTATTGAAATAACATTTTGTGACTCCTCCGTCTGTGCTTTTTCAAATAATAGAATAAAGAAAATTGCAATCACTTTCAAGTAAACCAGATTGCTCCACCAGACAAAAACAAATGAAATGTGCAATCGCTTTGTTAGAACAATGCAAATAAAGTTCAATCTGTGCAAAAAATAACTAATATTTGGCAGAAAATAGCTTATTGTGGCAGCAATTCACCTGTTTTGCACTGAATATCTTTCTAAGATAATAACAAAGTGCAACCTGTGAAAAACTAAACAAAACAAGTTCAAATATTTGGCAATAAAGAGTTTTACTGCATATCTTTTCAAAACAACAATAACGTGCAACCTGTGCAAAACTAAACAAAATGAGTGCAGATATGTGTGAGCCATATGCTCACACATATCTGCAGGAAGCTGTCCTCACGTCTGTTTAGACCTCCACCTTTATCCAGGCCCAGCTCCACCTTTATCCAGGCCCAGGTCCACTCACAGCTCAGCCCTGCGTTAAGCTGCGCTACAACCAGCCTCCTCTCCCTGAAGCTCTTTGACCTCATCATCTCATCAGTATCATCTCATTCTACTTCGAGTTAAAACAAACAACCTGCAACCAGATGCGCCGGTGTTCTGGTTTAACGTTAACGAAACGTTGCATGTTTCATCACGTTACGATTTTTCCTGCTAAATCGTGATAATGACGAACGTTAACAGTCGACAAAGTTCCGCATGCAGTGGAC